TATATATTAAAATTTAAATATTAACTGTTAGTAATATAATTACAATGTAAAATTATAGTAGTGATGAAGAAATCTCATCTATTCCAGATGATGAATATTAAGATTATGATAAATAAGATTTTGAAGCCATTTAATTTGCTAATAACAAATAAAACATATATGAAGATAATCAAGAAAATGATAATGATAATGAAAATGATGAAGAAGAAGAATTAGAATTAGAAAACAATGACAAATTATAAAAAACTGGAATTAAATTTAAATTACCATAAAGAAACTAAATTGAAAATAAGAAAGCTCTATCTAATTTAACTAATCATAAAGTATTGATTGAAACTACAAATTAATTAAAAAATATTAGCAAACTATAAAATAGACCTTCTACTTCTACTACTTCATCTTATAAACCTATTTATACTTCTAGTATTCATTAAAGTGAATAAATGCAAAAAAAATATAATTATAAATAAAAATCATTTAATACTTTACCAAAAAGATCTGATCCTGTTGCCAGATATTAATAAATGTCATCATAATGGAAGAAAACTAAATTTTTATAAAATACTAATGGATTAAAAGAAGGTAGAAAATTAAATTTAGATACAAGAATTGAATAATAAAAATAAGAATTAAAAGAATCTGGAATGTTTCATAGATACATTGCAAAATCGTAATTATTTTTGTGATTTTATAAACTTTTCATAAATATATTTAAATTTTTTCTTTGTTCTGATAAGATCAATGATAATTAAGAAAAGATATATGATTTTTTTAATTTAGCCAAATATGAATAAAATTCTTATTTAAATGAAAAAAAAAAACTGCATTTTTAAATATGGAAAATTGAATAGATTATCATCCAAATAAGAATTATTTTGTTCCTAGTAATTTAGTACATTTTGAACATCTATGTTATACATCTTTGCAATTATTCAATAAGCAAGGGAGAAATGCAAAAAAAGAAGTAATTATTAATGCAAGTAAAATAATAATTACTACGTAACTTCCTTTTCCCAATTCATAAGAAATATCAGAGTCTACAGGAATATTGCATTTGGAACATAATAGCTTTTCTGATTTTCTAGTTTAGGGCACGTTTGGGTATGAATTTTCTTGTTGAATAATTGTATTAGTTTTAATTTGTAACTCAATATTATGTGATCTAATAGTTTGATATGTTCCTTATGATTATCCACTTCTAGTTTATTATTACTATGTGTCTAAAGTATTAACACTCATCAATATTTATGATAATAATTAATAATGAAAGTCTTAATAAATTGTTAATAAATATGTGAATAAAACTAATAAAAATCATACATTTAGTAAATTAATTCAAATTTAACATACTTATTTAACATTTTATTGAAATTTTTCATCTTCTTCAATAACCGAATCTAATTTATCATTAATTATGTTTTCAATTCTGGATACTTTATTTGAATATGATTAGGATCCTTTACTACTTAAACTTTCAAAAGAATTCATTTAACAGAAGGAAGGACAATAAAATTGAAATTCAGCATATTTTCTTGGACTTTTTGTTCTTTTTCTTTGTTCTGTTCTTATTCGATAAGATGTAGGATTGCATTTCTTAATTTAAGCAGCTTAACATTCTTATCCAATAGAATGGGTATCTTTATATTCTTCTATAAAATAATAATAATAATTTAATTTACTAATTTATGATAGACCAGAAAACCCTGTTGCTTTATCCAAGATCTCTTATAAGATATTAATATTTTCAAGTTTACAACTAAAATAAGAGTGTTCCAAACATTATGTTGCTGAATATCTAGTTTTAGGATTTGGATCCAACATAGATTTTAATAAACTAATTGCCTCTTTTTATAATTTATATTCAATATCTTAATAATTGACTTGACATAATTTATTTTATTCCATAATTTCCATAGTATTTTAAGCTCGAAACAATGTTTTCTTTGTTAATCTATGATTATTATAAATCTTACAATTTATAAAAGATAACTCCTGCACTGAAAATGTCACATTTATTAGTGAAATATTCATCATTATTAGAATTTTTAAGTATTTCAGGGGCAATATATCCAGGAGTACCACAAATACTTACTTTTTGTTAAGGTTATGCATATATAGCTAAACCAAAATCAATTATCTTTAATGATGTAATATCATTTTATTATTATAATAAAATATTTTCTAATTTAATATCTCGATGGATTATATTATTAATTTCTAAATATTTTAATGCTGTTAATATAATCTATATAAATATTATATAAATAAACTTTGATAGCTTCTCTGATTTAATGAGAAGGTATTTAATCATCTGGAAATGTTTTTATATAATTATAAAGAGTATCTCCTTATAAGTAATCTGTTACTAAATAATAAGAGTTCTCTCCTTGGTATATTTCATGTAACTTCACAAAATGAGGATGATCTATTTTCTGTAAGATTTAAATTTCTTATTATAATCTATTCTAATAATGAATAAAACAATTTATACCATTCGATCAGATGACTTTTTTTATAAGAGATACTTTTTAGATATGCACTTTGCTGCATATTCAAGAATACTCTTCTTTACTTTAACTAAGCAAACCTAATTTAAATTTTTAGTATCACTTTTGAAGATGCTCCAGATCCAATAATGGAACCTGAATCATAAAAAATAGAGATGTTTCCAAAAAATACTTTAGGAGACAAGTGAATTTTGAGTAGATTTAGAGAATTATGATCAGAATCAAACCATTTAATTCGATTCACATAGTAGATTCCAAATGAACATAATTCATCTTGTTCTGAAACTTTCCACATTACTCTTGTTTCAAAATTATATTGTATTATATACTTAGGATTCAACATATTTTTATGCTATATTATATATTCAGTAGACTTACTTCACTTAAGATCATTTAATCTTCTAAGACTTATAAATAATATGTTTTGCTTTTCAAAATATGTTTCCTTACACAATTCATTTGATATAGTACTTGCATTTATATTATATTACTTTTATTACTCTCTTATTAATATATATTCAGATATATTAATTAATTTGTTATATTTAAATTCAAAATGCAAACCTAAGACCTCGTTGAATATTTAGAATAAGATGTCAATAGCTTTAATTAACTCTTCACTTTCATTCCTTATCAACCTTCATTCTATAATTATATCACCAAGTATCAATTGAAATCAATTCAAATTGAATTAAAGAGTGAAGAATTCTTACCATCCATCTTTGTTAATGATAAATTGCAACATAAAATTAAGTATCATCAACAATTCAAATAAGCATATGGATTAACTAATTCTTTTGAATTTGATAATACAATATCAATTGATATTATTTCTTATGACATAGAAGAAACTTATAAAGAGTAAAGAAACATTAATTATTAATTAGAAAATTGGAAAATGATAACATGTATCCAATCTTATTAAGCTTTGCTGTTACTAATTCAAATTGGAATGTTGAATCACTTGTCCAATTTATTAATCAGAAAGCCTGCTCATATAATACAATTAATATTGATCTACTCTATTTGAATTTATTTAGATTTGCTTTGTATTTCTAAAAATCTAATCAAATCACTACTTTTCTACATTATCCATCTATTAAATTTAGATTATAAGAAATAAGACATACTAATAAATTTGTAGAAACTCCTTTAACTAAAATGATTACAAAATCAAGATCAAGTCAAAAGAAAGAAAAAGTTCAATATAAATTTGGATTTCTCTCTCTAGATTAATCTAATAGAATCTTTCCTTTAATGATTTAAGATCCTCTTATCTTTTAATTACCTTTAATTGGTACTTGGTTATATTCAAATGATCCATATGATGAACCATTAAATAATAGATAATATATTTGGACTATGTTAACAGAATTTATTTGTAGTCCATACATAACCAGAAGAATCTGTAAAGATTAATATGACTAATTTTTATTCATTCAATTTCAAAAGAATCAGTCTCCATAATTCTTTGAAGTAAGTATTCAAGAAGATCCTCAATATAAAATAGTAAGATCTTAAGAGAAAATACTTAATCTTGATAATCATCAAATTGATCTAGCTTCTGCTTAACCTTTTAATTAAATAGATAAAGTGTCAGATCTATATAATCCTATCAACAATACTAATCAGATCTAAAATAAAAATTCAATTGCTACCTAAAATATTAATAAATAAAAACTTTTATCTGCAGAACCTGTTCAAACTATAGAATAATCATTTTAATAGGAAAGTACAGTTAAATAACCACCAGTTCCTTAACCTTTAGATTCTAATCAAAGTTATTAATCTGCAAACTTCCCTTAAAATTAACATTTAACTGAAAGATTAGTAATTATGTAATCAGAATAATTGAAACTAATGTAAACTCAAATTATAGATTTGTAAAGAGCTTTACTTCAATAAGTAATATTATATATTAATAATTAGATGTAAAAACCTTAAATTTAATAACCTATGAGTCCTCCAAGAAATGAATAAACATTTCATCCTTCAAATAAAAGAATGGGATTACCTGTATAAAAAATAGATTTCTTAAGTGAATAATTAAAATTAAAAACTTAATCCAAAAAAAAAGAATAAGAAATAGAAGAGATTGCATAATAGATTTTATGTGATAAGATTGAATCTATGTAAAATTCAACAAGAAATTCAATTAATAAATTAATCTCATAAAATAATTCAAATAACTCTGAAAATTCTAATCAATTTAAAATTTCAACTAATAAAAAATAATCATTAGGTGATTTAATTATTTCAATGAAAGATAGTGACATTAAAAGATAAATAAAAAGAAATTAAGCCATGATCTAAGATATAAATGGAAATACTCAACATGAAAATAATCATTAATAATATCATTCTTAATCCTTGTCACCTTTTTCTTTACAGAATTAACAATCAGATAAAAATCACTTTTTATAAATTCAATCCCCAACATTCAATCAATAAAAGGATGTTTCATAGTTTAATTATATGACTAATAATACATTTTAATAAGAAAGTCCTATCAAATATGTTAGAATTGACTAATTTACTTAATAATTATATTAGTAATAATAATAATAATAATTGTAGTAATAATAACAAGTATAATTACAACAATAATAATAGTAATAATAGTAATAGTAATAATAATAATAATAATAATAATAATAATAATAATAATAATAATAATAATAGTAATAATAGTAATAGTAATATTTATAATTCTAATAATAATAATAATCATAATAATAATCATAATAATAATATTAATAATAATAACAATAGTAATAATCCCAAAAAAAATAGATACAATCTTCAAATATCAAATAATCAGGTTTAATTTCATCTATATAGAAATCATATAATAAGTATTTATTTAATTTAATGACTTTAGAGAGAATATTATGATGAATAATTAATTGGAATAGAGTGCAGGATCTAAAGCAATGCCTAAGATTAAATTTAATTTAAAGGATTATGACGAGTCTGATTCAGATGAAGAAGTTAAGAAATTGTAAATGAAATACCTAAAGAAAAGATGATTTTAATTAATTTATATTTTTCTGTTTTTTTAAAATAGTTATTATTAATAGTATTTAAGATTTCTATTAATTGAACGTATAAATTATAAGAATAAATAAGGCAATATTATAAAATTTTATTTAAAATCAAAATGCTGAACAATTAGTCATTTTAATTAATAAAAAAGTTAAGAATTTTATCATAAAATTGATTATGAAATTAATAATTAATTATAGATATATATATATATTTATAAGATTAATTATATCAAATATTACTCATTTCGTTATTATGATATTAACAAATTTTATTCTCTATCAACAAGACTGAAAATAGTTCAGATAATTATAAATAGATTTTGATTCTCAAATAATTCGAATGATTACGGATTGCAATGTTTGATTGAATTAAAAAAAGAATTGAATAACGAATTTATAGAGCAACACAAATATTTAGAAATAATAATTAACAGAATGTTATAATTAATTAAGATTATAGAAAAATACTTATAATTTTAGATTTAAATTTTGATATTTTCTATGATCATTAGTGATTATATAATAATAATTTAAATTTAATAACAAAAATACACATAATATAGAGTGAAAGTAAGAAAAAATAGAATAATGAGAATATAACTAATATGTATAAATAAAAAAGATAATTTTAATTATTAAAAATAAATGTTAAAATTTTTGCCAATTTTAATAGGTTAAGTTTTGTGTTAATTATGCTAACAACCTATAAAGTATGAATCCTACTAATTTTCATTTAATATAATTGATCCAAAATCAGGTTAAATATGGAATTTTGATGATTTAAAATGTAAGATTGAAATAATAAATTAGAGGTAAATACAAATTGCCCAGCTACAACAACTAATTTAAAGGATATAGAAAGCTCAGTTATCTAATTGTTAGATTTAAAAATGATTTTGGATATACCTGAAAATATAACAATTACAAGGAATAGGACAGCTGGTCCAAATGTATAATATAAGACTGATGGGATAAAGATGAGAAGCTAAGGAATAAATAATTATGTTTCATATCAATCTGAATTCTTTTAATTCACATATGCAGAACATAGCCTTGATTTTCAATCTTAAACACCTGATGGAGAATTGCAAATATTTATGATCTAGGATCAATTGTATTAATTATGTGATATTGAACCAATTTATTCAGTTATTTCATTTCCCATATATAAATTGTCTGAATAATAGCCATTAAAATTCAGTGGATAATTCAACATGAATGCTGATACAATGAGTGATTTCAACTTTAAATAAAATATTTTAGGCACTATTAAATCTGATATATCCTCTTATATCACATATAAGGCACCAATTAATATCCCGTATTGATATTTAATAATTTAGACCTTGTTCAACTGCTTATTGGTACGTGTCCACAAATCCATTATTTTTTAAATAAGATCAACTAGATTTACTATTGTAATAGAATCAATAAAATAGAATGTAAAGGGTAGAAATGGAAAATATTGAAATATAATACAATAAAGGAGTAAATAAATATTATCAAATATAGAAAATATTATTTTATGGGGATGTTGAATTTGCTGATTATAATGATACTGTTGAATGGGCAGCTACTTGGGTAGCTTCTATAATTCCATGTTTAATCTTTGCAATCGTTGTTTGTGTTTATGGTTAATATGAGATATCAAATATTGGAAGATATAAAAGACCAGAAATGAAAAATAATGAAGCTGAAATTGAAATGCTCAATTAAGAAGAAAAATAAATGTAATGAATTATTATATAATGTGATGATAATTTAAATAAAATTATTTATAATTAGTATTTTATCAATTATGAATCAAAAGAAAAGGTATTATGTTTATATAATTTAATGATTAAGGTTTTGCTACTATTTAAAAGATTGAAACAATAACTGAAATGTTTGAAGAAGGATATTACCCTAATATCATTGTATCTTTAAGTGTCACTGATAAAGGTTTGTAGATATTGAGTAACTAAAATCTTAATATGAATTTTATTTTAATAATAAATAAAGATTTTTAAGTTACATATAATATTCTCATCTATTCTAATTTATCAATTAAATTGGTAAGAAATTAGAAAATTCAAAGTAATTAGTAAATTTCTATATTTGATCAATCGTTTTTATTGAAGAAAGTGATTTATTTAGATGCTACTAAATGTAGCATTAAATTACTTTTAATAAATTATTTGTCGTCTATTCAATTTACTTTTCCAACTCTTCTAATTTATCTTGTAAATTATCAATTTAAAATACTTATCCACCATTCTCAATCACTAATTTCTTATAATAATCTACCTAAGTCTCCAAATATGCATACATATCTTTATATGAATTTATTAGTTCTAAATCTTATATTTGGATTGATTAATTATTATTCAATACATTAGATTGCATCAATCTTTAATAAAATCTGCTCAAATGATAAAATTTACTCAATATTATTAATGTTAATTATTAATAATACCCTGTAGAATTAAAATCTGTCTAATTTCCTTTTATTATTATTTCCTTTTAAATAAGCTCTATCATATTTCTTAATTTTTAATATTCTATTCTCTTATCTTCTTTACTCTTTTCGATATTCTAATTTTATATTATTTCAAAATATTATTATATTTCGATTATTTTTTATTTAATTTCTAAACACAATCTTTCTTAATCTTACTGTACATTAATTTTAACCTTAGTATCTTATAAAAAATTGAAAAATTAATAAAATCTTTTTTTGTTTTCTTCAAATTTGTCGTTTATTTTCCTTAAAAGATGATCTAATTTTTAATTGATATATTTATAATGATTTATTAATTCCTTATTCTCTTAACATAAAATTTCTATCTTATTTAATAGTAATAACTATTCTTAAAATGCTACTTCCAAACTAGTAAATTTTTATTTAATATTTTATATCTCTTATTCCAATTGATTAATCACATTAGAATATTATGTCTTTAAAATTATAAACTCAAATTCTAATATCTCTTATTTTAATTAATTATCTTGTGAATCATAAGATTTATTCAATATCTCATTAAGTAATTTCAACTCTTAATTAACCAATTTTTATATATAAATTCTTTCTTTTTCAATTTTCTTTGAAATTGAATGAAAATATTATTTTTTAGTCTAATTGTATTATTATAAAAGTTCTTCTATTAAAGAAAATCTATAAATTTAATTCTAGATTATCTATTATATTCTATTTTCACTTTAAATAAACTCTTAATTATTAATAAGATTTTAATTCTTAGAAAAATTTATCAAGAATAATTTTATTGATTAAAATTGAGAATTAAATTCATATTTTAATAATTCTAATTATTACTAAATTTTCTAACGTAATTCATTTACAAAATTTAATATTCTCATTTTTAATTTCTCTTCTAACTAAAGCACTTCTAATTATTGTTCTTCTAGAACTTCATTAAGATTTCTAATTTTATATTCTAATTCTTGGTATTTTTATGATGTACTTAATATATCAACCTTATTACTATTTTATTTATCAATAACATCAGGATTCTCATTTTTTATATCCAATATTATTTTATTAAGAAACTATTATCTCTCTAAAATAGTGGGTATGAATGAAGTTTAATCAGATTCATCTTCAGTTGCAACCATCATCAAATATTATAAATTAACACCTTATAATTTTGTTTAAATTCTTTTTAAATTTGATTCTAATAATTATTTGATTTGTAATAATTAATTTACTAATTAACTCTAATAACTTTTAAATTCTAATTTAATATCTTAACTAATCTAATTTAATTTATTATAAGATTGATTAAATTATAAGATTGAAAGAACATCATTAAAATTTTTACTATTACTCTATAATTCTAAATTCTAAAGTATCATCTTATTTTAATGTTATAACTTTGAAAACAAAATGATTTATAATGTTCCAAATTAACCTAAAAATTAGGTTGGCTAATAAAATGTATCTAATTTCTTTTGAAGTTTATTATGCTTTAAAATCAAGTTTTCACATAAAGTTTTTTTCAAATTGAAATTAAATTAATAAGACAATCTATTCAATTCATTTAATTATTATTTAAATATATCTTATATCTCATTTGAAAAAGTTTATTAAATTAAACTTGTGTTAATGAATTTTTGAAACTAAGTATTTATTTTTTTTAAATATTAATATTCTTAATATATTACTTCATTATTCTAATTGATATGATAATAAAGATAATTCAATTAACTTTAAATTTATTATTATTCAAGTGTATATTAATAAATGATTTCAATTTATTAATTAGATTATTGATTGAAATAATTTTTCATATCATAATGATTTTCTTTTAATAAATTTAAAAGATGTTATTTTGTTAGTTCTTATACAAATAAAGGATTAATTAAATTAATAATCTCTTATTTTTACCATTCATATAATGGAGAATTTAAGATTAAATAAATACTTTATTCTAATGTCATTTGGTTTAATTCTATAATTTATCAAATTAATCTTACATTGATAATCAATATCAGTCAGTATTTGAAAATATAAGTTTCCAAAATCTTTTACTTATTAAATATCAAGTTACATTTATTCTTATGTTGTATAAGGATGTAATTGATTGTTAAAATTATTATCTATAAATAGTTGTTGATTTATTCCTTTAAATTAAATATTTCCTAAATGATCTTTTGAAAATAAACAAAGATCATAAGTTTTCTATTTAATTTTTTATCTACAATACTAATTTTCTAGATTTATAAATACCTTATAAAATAATCGCTCTTTTTATTCAAATGGTAAGAGTTTGAATTCTTATTATTAAAAATATTAATTCCAAAAATATATTTAATGTTGATCTAATTAGAAAATACAATCATTCTATGTTTTTAAAAATGTATATTGCAATTTTTCTTTATAATATTCATAATGATCTTAATCGTTAACAAATAACGAAATTTAATGTTTATGTTAAAAATTTAAATTAATCTCGATTAACAAAATATTTTTTTCTAAAGTTTTTAGGATGCCAGAATATAGTTTAATCTTTCCTATTTCATTTATTTTTTCTAAAATTTCAATTTGTTATCCATTAAAGAATAAGAGTTATTTATTTTGTGATGACATTTACATTTAGTAATTTAATATATTAAATTATTTAATAGATTAATCTTTTTCTATTAAATATTTTGTATTTAATTTTATATATTTATTCTCCAATAATTCACTAAGAATTTATTAATTATATTATGTAGTAAATTGATTAAATATCATTATAAGGATACTAAATTCAGAAATATGATTAATATTTAGTAGGAGATTAATTTAAAGTTTACAAAGCAAAAATAGTTCAAACAGGGGAATTAGTAACTTTAAAAGAATAATCAAAAATTACATTTTTAGAAGCGAATTTATTAAGGCTTCAATAATGTATAAAATAATAACACATTATTGAAATCAAAATTTTTGAAATACAATAATCAAAAGTGTTTATAATTCTTGAGAAAATGAAAAAATCATTACATGATTTTATTTTTGAAAATGAATTCATAAATAAATAATAATTAGAAAAATGCCTTTTATTCCTTTAAGTATTTTTCATTATATAATTCATTAGATAGTTTAAGCTATTTAAGAATTGCATAGATTCGACATATTTCATAGAAATTTAAAACCTATAGACTTTGTTGTTTGTGAAGATTAAGATAAATAGATTTAAATCAAACTTTTAGACTTTGGATTAGTCTAATTTGATACTTGTGAAGATTTAAATAAATCGCTTGAAATAGGATCGATTGAATACTTAGCTCCTGAAATTATAGAAAATGAATATTATGATAAATCAGTAGATGTATGGTCTCTGGGAGTAATTTGGTACTAAATGCTAACTGGATAGAGTATATTTAAAGACAACAATAAACTTTTATCGTAAGAATCTATTTATGAATTTATTGAGTAAAATGGTAATTAAATAGATAGGAATATTAAAAAATTAATAAAATAAATGTTAGTAATCAAAAGTTAAGAAAGGATCTCTCTTAACTTATTAATTTCAAATTTATAAAAGTTTTGTTAAAACTAGAATAAGTTATACTTATAGAACTAAGAATAAAGTATTGTTGATTATAGTAATTTATAATAATAATAGTAGAATGTTAACTATTAATAAAAATTAAGCAATTTCTAATAATAATTATAAATTTAACTTGAAAAGTAATTTAAAGAAGAATTATAATTATGTCTTGAAAAAAAATAAATATGTATGAAAAAAGTAAAGATTGAGATTATATAAGATGAAATCAATTAAAACATTTAAAATCTATTATTTTTAAATTAGAAGGAATAGAATATTGATTAAATTTATGCAACATCAGAATAGGGATATTAGAATTATTTAGAAAAATGGTAAAAAAGAGATGATTTATTTATGCAATTCCAACAAGAATTTTATATTTAAACTAACGATATGATTTAAAAATAAGAAAAAAATATAGAATAACGTTGGGAAGAAAAAAAATGTGAAATTATTAGAGAAATAACTTTACAGATTAAATAACAACTTTTATTAGATTATAATTTATAAATGACAATTTATGAAAATGAAATTAGAGAAGAATAAACATATTTTAATGGTCCAATAGCTTTATAATAAAAAGTAATTTAGGACAATAAAAAATAATTAGAACTTTTGAAATAATAATTAGATAATTTTTTTATTCAAACATAAAAATAATAATAGTATGATAAGCTCTTAAATACTTTAAATGTAATTTAAGAATAGTAAGATTAGTTAGAAGATAAATAGTCATTATAAATAGCATAAAGAAATAGGGAATTTTAAAAATAGTTGATGATTATTAGAATTGAGATGGATTCTATTGAAAATGAAATAGAATTGGAATATTTAGAAAAAAAATTAAAACGACAGAAAATAAATTTAGAGAATAAAACTAAGAATTTATTTAAAAATTATTCAGAAATAGTAGATGCTCAAATAACAAAATTAAAAGAATTATAACATAAAGATAATACATTAATCACATAAAACTAAAATAATAGTTATTTTTTTGATAAAATTTAAAAATTAAATTTGTAGAGATAACATTTTAATTAAGAATTATAATAATTATTTTAAAGTTGTTAAAACTAATAAATTGAAACTTTACTCCCATAAATTTAAAGAATTCAATTTTTTAATGAAAACCTTATTAAAATCAGTAATTATGTAAAATGGTCAACTTAATAATTAAATCCACAATCAATAATCTATTAAACATAAGATTAATCTAATTTGAAATATTAAATGGAGGATCTCCTTAATTAATTAATTGATTTATATGGATTAATTTAAGCTTATTTAGAAACAGATGAAATTTAATGTACAGATATCAATATAATTAAAGATTAATAAGAGAATGTCAAATTGTTGATTGATACATTAAATTAATAAAGTGAAATATTATTAGAATGTTAAAGAAAATTACAATTAAATAATTTAGTAATTGAAGAAAATAGAAAAGAATTTATTAAAAATGGTATTTACAATTAGAATTTTTAAATCTTTTCTGAACAAAATTATGAAGAATTTGCCTTTGAACTTAAAGAAATTATAAATTAAAAAGAATTAGTAAAAGTCAGACTCAAATTTTTTGATGACTATGAGTTTTATAAACAAATTATAAATTAATGGAATGGAATTAAATCTAAAAAATAAGAATTATAATAAGAATTGCAAGAAATAGTAGAATAAATGTATAGTTACAGCGATAATTAATTATAAATACATATATAAAAAGTTTAAGTTTTATTAATTTAGATTAATTAAACACTTAAAACAATTCCATCCTTAAATTAAATTCAAAAATTTAATGAATAATATCAATAAAATCAAATTAGTTACTTAAAACTCTTCACTTTGATTGTCTATATAAATTTATATCATTGTTAAAGATACTTAAATAGATTTTTATCTCTCAAAAATAAAAACTTAGTTTAATAGATTTAATAGTCTTAGATTGAAAGCTAAGTTTAAATGAATTCATAAAATTAATTAAATTAAGATATTAAATCATGTAAATAAGAAAAGTAAAAAATTCAAAGTTTAATTGAAGAATATCGTCAATGTCTAAAAAGATAAATAGAACCTTTTAAAATTATGAAACTTTAAGAGGATAATGAATATATAACTAATCTAAACTCTAACTATAAAAATAAGATTAAATAAATAATATTAGTAAAGTTGCGTAAATATTTAAATGATTAAAATCTCATAAATGAAATTATTAATCATTATACAACCTATGAATTTTAACCACTACTCTTCTATAAATAAGTAACAGAATAGCATAATTGATTTTTATGCAACTAAATTTTGTAAACTATAATCAAATATTTAATCAAAATCAATTTAAATTTAGAGTGCTACTTGTGCTTTTAGTTAGCCTCATATTTATTTTAGTATTTTAATCATAATTATACCCAACAAATAAATCTAAAATATGTAAAAGTTTTACTTTAAATAGAGTTCTTTTTTAATAATAATCTATTTTCAATAATTAATTCATCTTATGATTCTGTTTCTATACTAATATTGTATTCTAAATTTTCTTATATAGGCTATTTTTTAATATAATTAATTACTGATGGAATAAAAGGAGATTAAATTTCTTTTTTTAATAATTTACTCCATGGAACACCTTATAACCAAATATGCTTCTTAATTTCTTCAGGTCCATTAAATCCTAATCTATTTATTTGTTTTCTCTAAATTAATTTATTTATAAAATCAGCAGCTTCAAGAGACCAATCATTTGGAATTTGATTTCTTTTTACTTAAACTTATTTGGATATGATTTAATCCTTAATTTCTTATCTAGATTTTCCATTATATGGTCTATAACCTAACATAAATTCATAGGTCATAACTCCTAAAGCAAAATAATCAACAGCAATAGTATGATTTTATCTACACATTACTTCAGGAGCTATGAATAGAATGAAATTAAGATATACCCATATAACCTGGTGTTCCACTATTATCTGATGAATTATCAGGTCTCCATATTCTAGCAATACCTAGATCAGTTAATCTTGCATAACCTTTAGAATCTAAAACAATATTTTCAGGTTTAACATCTCTATGAATAACATTTTAATTATGTAGATATTCAAGTGCTAATAGAATACAAGAAACAAAAAATTTGGTTTATAGTTCATTGAATCTTCTTAATCTTCCTAAATGTTGTCTTAAGTCGCCTCCAGTTAATAGATCCATAACTAAATATAAGTTTTCTCTATCTTAAAAAGAGTAGACCATATTAATTAAAAATGGATGTTTAAATTAAGTCAGAAGATTGCGTTCATTTAATACAGAATTCACACTCCTTTTAGCCATAATTTTAGCCTTTGACATTTCTTTCATTGCATATAGGGTTCTATTTTTTTTTAATTCAACTTTCCATACTTTACCAAAACCTCCTTTACCTATTATGAAATGATATGCAAAATTAGATTTATTTACACAAATTTATGTGTCAATTTTTAGTTCTTCATCATTTTCATTATCATCATATTATTATTTTTTAATTGTTGTTTTTTATAATTATTATGTTGATCCATACTTAACAAGTAATTATTGGAAGATGTTTTCAAATTTTTTTATGTTTTATTTATTATTTATATTTGATTAAGGTCCTTAAAATACTTAAGCAATATCATTCATATTAATATTTAGATTAATCAATTATTTTTATTTTAATGTCTTTTCTAATGATAGCTTATTCCAATTTAAGTAAAATTCATTAGCTAAATTCTTTTTTATTGGTATTTCAGATTGTTTTGGTGATTTTTAAATAGTTATTTGCATTGGACTTTTTGATCTAGATCGAAAACTGTCAATGCTTAAGAAATAAGGTGTTTTCTATAACTATGCATCATCATTGAAATTGATAGAGTTACTAAAATTATGAATACATATTACAATAGAGTTCTATCTTAAGAGTTCTTTTTAATTGGATTTTGAAGCATTTTATCATTAGCAAGAGGGGATTTACTATTATGAAATCTATCAGATGGAAAATTGCTATTTATTTGATGATTTTTAGGCGAAATTCTCTCCTGTAAATTATGATAATGGTTATACATTATTAATAATTTTAATACTGCTTATTTAGAACTGATTCTTTTATTAAATTTATTGTAATATCTGTTTGGATGCATTTATGGCTTTACATATTGATATAATATTAAATTATTAAAAAGATAAGTATATATTTATTAAAATAAATAATACAATCAATAAATAGGAAGTGCTTATTTGAAAAGTTATTATGCATAATAATAACCTGTAAATTAGGCAGAACATCCAATTAAATAATAAATAAGACAACTTTGGATTCCATTAAAGAAACCTATATTTTATATAATTTAAATTACCCATAATTCCGTTTTTTTGTAAAATGTGTGTAGTACACATAATTACACCTCCATCCATCAATAAAGGTCTGAATTTTCTTTGAGATTTGTACAAAGCAGCCTCACATTATAGTTAAGTTTTAACTACATCCAAAGGATATGAAGCAAGACAACAAGCTATACCACTCAACCCTCCACAAACTAATGCCTACCAAAAATTAATATCATCTGAACTATTCCTTTGTTTGAATAAATATTTTGTATATTCATATGTTGTAAAGAAAGCTAAAAAGCTTATAGAATTAATAAATACCTGCATTCTAAGGGACATCTCTAATTATTGTAGCCACTAATCCTTTGAACAATCCTCTAATGCCCTCTCTCTATAATAAGGTGATTACACATCTTAATGGAGACCTCAATTCATGATCAATATTTTTTATTTGCATTTGAAGTAAACATTTAATCATCTCAGCTGGGCATACTACCATTGCATAAGCTACTCCACTGACTCCACCAGCAATTAGCCCTATTATAGAAATATTATCTTACATGAAGCAAATTATGGTTGATTACTGTATGGATAAGGACAAAGCTCACGATATACTGCTTCATATACTGCAAACATTACTGCATTACAAGGTACTTCAGCCAATATTGGAGATAGCATTCCTTTATAATAAGCTTTAAACTAAGCTCAAATAATTCATTACTCCTTCTTTTTTATAAATGTCCAAGCCTGTTCTTAAAATTGACTTTTTTGAGTTTCCCATAATCATTCTCACCTTAATAGTGCTACAATATATAAGATTTTTTTACTCAAAAGGATGTCCAAAAAGTCTAAAACACACTCCTGCAAATGCTCCACTGAGAACATCGGATATTGATTGCTCTGACATACTGAATACGTTTTCTTGTTTGTAAGTTAAAATTATTAAATTTGCTTTGAGTTTTTTTTACAATCTCAATGGTCCAATAATGAGTAATAAAATTTTACTATAAATCTTTTAATTCGCAATATGATTAATAATTATTATAAAAATTATTATAAACAAACTATGTAGCTTAAAAGAAGATTGATGTTTTCATTCAAAGATTCTCATTTATATCGATATATAAAATTATTTAATTTAAAATGATAAATCAAAATAATGTTCATAGTGATCGATTAATTCAGGTATTTTCTTGTGATATGCTTGATGGAAGCATCCAATAAGATAGATGGAAAAAAGGAAAGCTATTTATTATGGAAAAATCATTACATTTCTCATCTCTATTTAATTATTCTACAACCTCATTTGGATTCAATCAATAAATCACAAAATTACAATGTACATTCTTCTACCTATATAAGATTCCTAAATCAAAGAATTTAATGAAAATGAAGAAAATGATGTGTTGATAATTACTACTCACAAATAAAATTAACTGTTTTTTAGAAATTTCTATGCACAAAGACCATAAATTATGGAAATTTTAAGAAGCATTAATTTAAAAAATGAAGATTTTGAACCCATTCTTGAAAATGATACATTTGATTGGGATGCCTATAATATTTTAAGTTAACAAATTCTACCTTAATTAATAAAACTTAAAGATGGCAATTAATACAATCCACCAACCATTTTTGAAATAGAAGGATTAGATATACATGAAATCTTTGCATTACTCTATGATGACATTCCTTATTAACCAAGTTAATATTTCAATCTTACAATAAAAGAAGTGGATAAAACAAAATAATATTAAAATGTTCTACATTTCTTTTTTGAATAAATTCTTGGGGATTAATAAATTAAATGTGATCCTTATGTTCCATAAGTACCTGAATACTTAAGAACAGGCAATTAATCTAAAGGACCATCTTATGAATAATAATAAATTCAAAACTTACCTACTAGAACCATTAATTATGTACATCCTACAAAATTACCATTCTTTGGTACTATTAATCCTAAAGTCAAAATGACTCAAAGATTGCTATTGATTAATTAAAATGAATTTATTGTCTAAGTTTAATCAGAAACTTCAGGATTACCAAAGAGTGATTGTTATAAAATGATGTCACATGAAAAAGCTATTAGAATTGGGCATAAAAAATTGTATATATGTTATTTATTACACTAATAGTCGTATTGAATGTACATTTACTATTGAATGGTAATAAAGAATTATGATAATTTCAAATTAAGTAGATAATGCAGGTGCAATTGAATCAAAAAGAGTTCTTGAAACATATTATATACCATATGCTAAAGCAAGATTAGCAGAATCATTAAAATTAAAAGAATTATAAAAAGAATAGTAATAACAATAATAATAATAATAATAATAATAATAATAATAATAATAATAATAATAATAATAATAATAATAATAATAATAATAATAATAAGACTAATTAAATTCAAGTCAAATTATTGCTGATTAACCTTCAATGGTTCATGTCAGAAGATAAATTAAAAGTGAAAGCTAGATTTTATAATAAAAATTTTTGATTAGTCCTCAAAAAAATTAAGATTTAAATTATGAGAGAATCCAAGAATTAGATTCAAAGTAATAAAAATTAGAAAACTAAGTAAAACAATTATAATTATAAATTGTCTTGTAAGAAAAATAAATCAAAAAAATAAATGATGAATAACAAGCTTTAATATTAATAAGTAGAACATTAGGCATAGTCATATTGTTTATTCTTTTAACTAATTGGTTAATGAAATGATAAAGAATATTTTTTTTATTTTTCAAATTCCATTTCAATTTTAATATAAATATAAGATTTAAATGAAATGCTGAAAATATCAAGGAATTCTTGATCTAATATCTATATAAAATTATTTATATAGCACTCGAATATAATAAATTAGATTTCATCATATAATAAATGATTATGTATTAATAGGAATTATAATATTATTTCATTCTACTTATTTTTTCATGCATATCAAATTAATATTAAAAATGTTATTTGTGTACTTAATAAATCTTATAAATAGAATTCATAAGACTTTGATTGTTTTTTAACAGGATAAATGCAAATTTTTTATAATTTCTAAACTCAAGATATTTAATCTGAAAATAAATTAATTAATTATATTAATAATATTATTTTTATTTATATTGTAATAATAACATTGTATGAAAATGCTATTACTATTGCAATAACATCTTAAAATAATTCAGTAAACTTATGATATTTCTTAAAGTAATTCAGTAAACTCATTAGTATAAGATAATATTCTAATTTTTTTGAGTTAAAAATTAAAAAGATCAAAATATTTTATAAGGAGTCAATTAAAATGATTAATAGTAATACAATCTTATTTTCTAAATATGAATTGCAATCGATATTTTTTATCGAACCTTATTTAAAAAAAAATATTAATTAGTATTAATAATTTTTATTTGATAAAACTTGAATATTTTTAAATCTTTTATAATATTTTAATGAGAACGTGCCTATGTAGACAATAAGAAACAAGAAAGTAAATAAAATACAAATTTGATTGTCACATTTATTTATAGATTATTTTAATTCTAATTTATTTTATCAACTATCCTATAATTCATCAAATTAAAATTTTTTAGTATTTTTATCACTTGAGGTGATTTTAGAACTTGACTCATTTTTATCTTCAGGTATAATTTACTCTTCTATAGGACGTTATTCAGAATTATATCCATTTTAATTCTGCAAAGTTGGTTATGAGTTATACCTATTTATATTTGTAACTATTTAAGTATTCATTTTTCTTTTATTATTTCTTTATGATAATTTCATAAGAAAAGCTGTAGTTTATTTGCTTATTTAATCATTTTTAATTTTTTCAATTTTTTATTAATCACTTTTGTATTAATCAATAAGATCACTTGCTTCTTTATTTTCATCAAATAAAAATAGCTATTATTTTAGATCTAAAGTCATATTTTCTTTTCTTTCATCTTATTATGATTAAACTCTATTTTGTATATCATTTTGCAATAATTCATGATCTAAATCAACACTTGATGTATTATTATTATTATGTTTATTATTAATTTTCTAATTGATAGTTTCAGTAATGGAATCCTCATTAAAATTAAATGTGGATGCTTAAATATCTCTCATAACAACAGCAGTCTTTGAATATTATTAATCCTAAATTTGTTATTGATTTTGCTGAATATTAACATCTATTTTTGGAATAGGTAGATTTTTTTTCTGAATTTTTGGTGATTCTTAAGGCTTCTATTAAGGAAGGATTGGAGTTTGAGTGACAACTGGATTAAGTATTAATTTATTCAATTGAATTTGAAAATATTTGTATGATTAATCTTGTATTTCCTTAAAGTGTTCAACTCCTAACTAAATATAAATATGAAAGTAATTTACCATATATAAATTAATTAGATTTCTAAGTGCATCATCATTAGTGTATTCACTTAAAACCAATATAATGTCATTTTAAAGGATTTATTAAGCAAAATCTTTAGGGATTTGTTTTCCTAACTCGTACAATTGATTGTTTACATACTTTAGGAATGACGCATATTGGCCTTAGGACTGGATGCTCTAAACTAAAAGTTAAGAATAAATCAATACTAATTTAGAAAAGTATTCTGACATTATAATTTCAGGTATTATATAAATATATAATGTTATATGTAAATATAAAAACTATAATTCTTAGATTTAGTAATTAAATAATAGTAATTAATATTTGGATGCATTTGTATATAAGATGTAATAATAATTTATTTAATTTAAGATATATTTTATAGAACTGAATTTTAATAATATCGACATTATACAATAATGGATCAATCTCAGTCATTTTGTTAAGTATTGTTGAACATACGCTCATAAACCTGTTCATCATTGACTAATTTTCTTCTTACTTTACCCTAAATATGGTTCAGGGATTCTTACAGTATGATCTAATGGGTTAAATTTCGAGTAATGAGAACGACACTAACAAGCAGTACGAGTCGGTATTTCAATTGACATCATTTTAAAAACTCTATTCAGCTTTTTTTAGACACTTGTTTAGAATAATTCTTTATGTTATCGAACAAATTTTAAATATTTATAATGTTCTTCGTTTGTCCAATGTCCTAAAATTAGAATATAAGATTACCTCTACGGTTTTGAATTATCTAACTATTGGATTTTTTAACCTGTCTCACTGTCTCTACTTTCTACAAGAGTTTGTCTGAATTATCCTCTTCATTCTTCTTCTCACAGAGATTTAGAGAAGGAATATCATTTTAATTAATGAAATTGTCTTCCTATTTAATGTAAGGAGAAATTGTGATTTAAGGCAATTTCATCTAAGTTTGTTCTGTACTCCAGTTGATTTAGTTTTAGTGTTAAAAGTAATTCAGAGGATAAGATTCATTCTATAGATATGGTTAAGGTGCCTAAACATTGATAACAATAAGTGATTACCATATAGGTTGAAACTTAAGGATAGTAAGGGTTGTAGTTAGAGTAATACACTTGTGGATTCATGGTAAAATCTGTATAATGGTTTAATTATGTTACTTGGTTAAAATTAGTAAGGACAAGTACTGTATGAAAAGGGATTGGATTGCATGCTTTATTTTTGTTTAAAATTTAGTTAACTTGAATCATTTAATCGAGAATATATAGTGCGAAAGAATCAAGATTTTCTAATTAATAAAGTCAATATTACTTTACCCCCCTAATTTAACTTCATTCTTCCATTAGAAACCTTATCGATATATTTATACAATTAAATCTGACAAAAATTTTATTTATCATTAAATAATCCAACATTCATCTACACACTACTCTCATGTAGTCTCAATACCAATTCAGTCTATTGGCTATTACTTATTGAAATCAGTCTCCCTTCTTTCTCCTACTCTCCCATTTTAACCCCAGTAAAATTCAAAATCATAATTAATTATACTAAATATTGATGTTCATACTCAAATTTAATCTAAAATGCTATTTTATTTAAGTATGTTTACCAAAACTATTCAATTATTCATAAATTCATCATCAATATTTTTAATATTCATAATCTAAAATCACACTCTCTTTTTTGTAATTCCCATATTTTTTTAATTTCATCCCTAAATTATAGGTGTTTCTTATAAGTAATTTCCTTCAATCATTAAAATAAATAGCATTCAGTATATATATTTTAATTATATTTAAACATAAATTATAACGAGGTATCCAAATAATTATAAATACAATAAATATTTAAACTTATTGTATTTATATTTCACAGTAAATTACAAAAGACATCTACCAATTCCATCATCATATATCAATTATTAACAATAATATTAAAATCCATCAATTAAATCCTATACTCCATCTTCAAATTTTATTATTCCTTTATAATAATACATACTTTCATCATCTATTATTATCAAGAATCTAAAGCAGTTATATCCTAATATTCAATATTATATTTTTAATTAATAACGAGAATCCAAATGAAAAAATTAAGTCTTCTAAATATTGGATAGCTTCTTAATTAGAATCAAAAAACAAGCATTACACATCATTCCTAAGAATAATCCAAAAAATTTAGCAGCTTTGATCTTATAACCAAGAGTCCATATAAAAACTCTATAAATAAACAACATCTAAGACATCATGCTAAAGATTATTTTCCTATTACTACAAGACAACATGAATTTTAAAGTATTAAATCTCCTTCACAAACTACAAAAGCATCAAAACAATTCAGTATTACAAATGCTTGTATATATTAAATTTATTATATTAGTATCATAATTGTATAAAGATGAAGTCAAGTAACCTGGGTCAAGTAGAAGAACATCTAAAAAGAATTATACATATTAGTTAAAAAATATCCTTGTCAAAGATAAACTATCTCCCTTTGATATTGGTTAAAGTACTCTATATTATTCATTATAGGAATTGCTACTCAAGTAACATAACCTAATATTCCTTAATCACCTAAAACTAATTTAAAGACTAGTCCAGATGTTAGATCAATCTATGGGGATAATAATAAATAAAAACTATCGAGTAAATAAAAAAGTCAAAATACCACTGAAAGAATGCTCTAATTAGAAACAACTAGACAAAAGATAATTGCTCTTTAATTAAAAATACAAGGAAATATTCAATAACGATCATAAAGGAACGTTAATAAAAATAATTTATTTGATGAAAAAAAATAATAACTTTCATAATCAATACAATAACCAATCTAACAATAATTATAAAAACCACAATTACCTCAAAGTGCTGTGACTGTTCTTAAACATTATTTTGATTAATTATCAGATTATGAAAAGAAGGAGATCATTGATTATGAAACTATCTACTATCTTCCTCCTAAAAATATAAGATTGCTAAACTAAGATCCTAATGAAGATTAACAATATAATAATGGATTTGATAATAGCAAGTATTTTATTTACTTATTATAACTTAGTGGTGATTACAAATTTGTTAAATAAGATTAAATTGCTTATAGATATGAAATGTTAGAAAAATTAGGCCATGGAAGTTTTGGATATGTTTTTAAGGTTCATGATCATAAACATAAATAAAATACAGCTTTAAAAATAATTAAAAACAAAGAAAAGTTTTACAATTAAGCTTTAATTGAAATTGAAATATTAAAAGTAATAAATAAAGCAGATCCTACATGTTGTTTAATTAAAATGCTAAATTATTTTGAATTTAGAGGACATATTGTAAATATTTATAATTTAATTAGAAAAGTGTCTAGTCTTTGAATTGTTAAGTTGTAATTTATATGAATTCATAGCTATCAATGAGTTTTCAGGTTTTGATCTTGATTTAATAAGAAGATTTGCAATTTAAATATTATAGGCATTACTGTATATGAAAGAATAGAATATAATACATTGTGATTTAAAACCAGAAAATGTACTATTAAAAGATTTTAATCGATCTGGAATAAAAGTTATTGATTTTGGATCTAGTTGTTTTGCAAATTAAAAATTATATACATATATTCAAAGTAGATTTTATAGGGCACCTGAAATTGTACTTGGACTTCCATATTCAACTTAAATAGATATGTGGAGTTTTGGGTGCATTGTAGCAGAACTATTTACAGGATAATCATTATTTTAATCTAAATCAGAAAAAGAGTTACTTTATTTATAAATTAAAGTTATAGGAAAACCTGATAAAAATTTATTAGATCATTCTACAAGGAAATCTAAATTTTTTGATGAGTAACTTTAATTAAATTATGTCATAAATGAATTAGATTTAATTTAATAAATTAAACCTTTATCATAATTACTTGATAAATCATCAGAATAGTTTTAAGATGTATCAAAATTTTATAAATTTAGTTTGTAAAAAAATGTCTAATGTGGGATCCAAAACAAAGGATGACACCAGAAGAAGCATTAACACATCCATGGATCATTGATGGATTACCTTCATCAATCAAGTATGAAATATATTAATATTTAGAAAATAACATTTATAATAAATGAAACATTACAGATAACTTCAAACTGAAGGAAATTTAGACTATTTAAAATAATCATAAGGATAGGGAGAGTAATTAGAATGATCTTACTATCTTAATTTCAATATATTATTAAATATTACATAATGTAATTAAATTTCAAATCAATGTTTATTTTAACTTATAATAATAAAAAATTCTAACATTTAGGCATATTTACTCGTTTTATAGTATTCTTCATTAATAATATAATTAATGGTTGATTATAATTTTAAACAACCTTTTAATTTTGTTAAGAAAGCTTATTTGATTTTATTTTCTAACTATTAAATATTTTTATCCATTTATTATTAATCTTATTCCATATCTTTTATCATTATTTTACTATTATTATTAAATAACATATTTTTATATTTCAATAATAAATTTTAAGCCTCTTTCTCTTTAACTGTATTTTCTTCTTATTTTTCATTAAATACTTATATATATTCGCTTTACTTAGTTTATTTCTCTCTTTATTTCTTTGTGTGTTCTTTGATTCTTTCATAATATTTTGTAATATGAAACTACTTAATATAATTAACTAAAGCATATTATAAGAAAAATATTTCTAGATTGTTTTTAAAGTCATTGTTGAATTATTCAATTTCTTTATTTTCAGGAAGTTTCTTGTTTAAGACATTCAATTTAGAAATTAATTATTGAATATTTTCTTTAAGTGAATTTAATTATGAGGGATTTAATTATTATTTACATATTGCATCATTTATAGAAATTTATTTTTGTGATAATTCTTCACTCAACTATTTTAAATATTCATAATTTTTGATTAAATCATTATTGAAAGTGAAAACTTTTGTTTTACGATATAGTTTATTCATATTATTATATAGAGCTTCTAATTCATCCTTTGCTTTCTCAATATTTTCTTACAATATCTTAATCAATTTTTGAGCTTAAATCTTTGCCCAGCCTTTTTTTTATTCTAAGTCTTAAAATAAACTTTAAGATAATTTATAATTTTCTTAAGATTATTCGACAATTTTCTTCAAATTTACTTTTTACTCTTCTAATATTTTTTAAAGTTTATTTGATTAATCTTGCATATAAATTAAAAATTCATAACTTTCACATTCAATTTTAATCTATGATAGAGCTTTTGAGAACAGCATGGATTAAGATTGAAATTCAGTATTTAACTTTAATAATTCTATTTCATAATTATTATTGGTTTGATTAAAAGTTGGTTAAATTAACAATTATAATTTCATAAATTATTAAGTTTCATCAAATATTTGCTACTATAATTTTTACTAAAATTATTCAAGCTAATTTACTTAATTGTTAATAGTTTCATAGGAATTTTTTTAATTGAAAGATTAGAAAATTTAAAATTAATTATTAAGTTCATATATATTTTAATCTATTTGTTCTGATTTTTCTTTGATTTAATTCTTAGTTTATTCATTGATGGAATCTTAATTATTAATTAAATTATTAAGTTATTATTTTAAATTAGACAATTTCTCTTGATAATTAATTAATTGTTTTTATATAGTTTCTAATATATTTATTCTTTTTGTATTTATTTATTCAATTTATTAATCATGACAAATTTATTCATTCAACTATTGATATTAATTCTCAAAAACTTTAACTTATTTTTAAATTTAATTATAAGTTTAATGGAATTATTAATAATTCTAAAATATTCCTAAAGTAAATAATTAGTTTAAATCTTTTATCCGATTAAAGTCAGCTTCAATCTTTTTTAATATTTACTCTATTTATTATTCATATTTTTTATTATTTTAAGATAAACAATTAAATATATGATAATTTTCCTATAACTTCTCTTATAATTCCTCTATTAAACCTTGGTGTTTTTCATTAAATTTAAGATCTATTTATTGAATAATTTGGTTAGTTTCTTTAGTTTAACTTTTTAATTTAGTTGAAGCAAATTAAAGTTCTTCGAGTTTGAATATAAAATTTTAATATTGAATAATCTAATTGTATTACTCTAATTAAAAAATATTGTTCTCTTTTTATTTTAAAATCTACAAATCTTAAGTCAATTTTTATTCTAATAATAAAGTATCTTGAATTTTTTGTTTTCCTTAAAACTCATACTATATTTCTTAGTAAAAGCTTAATTTTTCTTTTATTTTTTGAATATCTAAAGAATAAGTAGAAGATTCCTAATATAAATTTTGAAATTATTTTGAAAAGGATTCTTTCAATTTTATCAATTATTAATTTTTTTCTTATCTTTATTACTCAATTAATTATTAACTTCTTAATTGATTTTCCAAGGCATTAATTTGCTCGGTGAACTTATTGAGAGTGTCAAATTATTAAAGAATAGATTAACTATATTCACTAACTTTTTTAATTTCATATTCTTGAAGTATTTCTAATTTTTATATTTATCCTATCTCTTATTATGCTTCTTCAATCAATATTACTTTTTATTTATGGTTTAATATTTCAGCTTAAATTTAAGATATTAATTATGAACTATGCTTCATATTTAAATCTCCAAGATATTTTAATTATTCATTTAGTTGATTTATGCTTGTATTAATAGTTTCTTTTTAAGATTGCAGTATGTTGAACAATGCTAATCTTTTTTGTTCTAATTATTATTAATAGAGTAATTA